AATTTGGCTGCTGAAATCAGCGACCAGTGACGTCACTTGTGTTTGTTGGTGTACCAGTAAACCAGCAGCTGCTCCACATTCCTCTGTACGCACTACAGCGGTACACGCATCGTCATCTAAGACCAAAGCAAACTCTGAATGTTTTCCTGCTTCGTCTGCCTTTTCAGGGCATACTGGCTTCCATTTATACAATACAAGCTGATGTCCGTGTTTGTTCTGGTATTAGAATATGTGAGAACGGGTGCTCTTGTGGGATTTGCAGAATATTCTACTGCCAGCACTTTGACTCATTACTGATTAGTCATTTGGTGTGTTGTCTGGTGTATTTACTCAGGCGTAAGGGTATGCTCTCTCCTGACTCTCAGAGTCTGAAAATCTGTCCAAACTGGTAGACTTCGTGTGTGGCCTGGTCAGTCTCAGTGGGTTCCAGATAGTTCTGAAGTGTGTCCCAAGCTTAAGTCAGGCTGCCCTTTGTCAGACGCAGCGAGCTGCGAGTCTTAGGATTGTTATTTTAGGACATTTCAAACAGATCAGCTCAACTGCTGAAGTTCTTTATGATATATATAAGTGATTAAGGTCTTTTCCTTTCATCAGATGTATTTTGCTTTTTGCTCCACACATGTGGTTATTGTGGTCAAACAGCTCGTTTGCTTCCAAAACAAATGTGGTTTATTCAGATGTTGTTTTTCAGGATTCAAGTGTAAGATTTGGTTAGCTGTTAGTAATTTTTTTTAGTTTATTTAGCAGCACTAAGGGCTGCAAGGTGGCTCGGTGTTTGCACTGTCACTTCGCAGCTAGAAGATCACCAGTTGGCGTCCCGGTGAGGACACCCGGGATCTTCCTGCGTGGAGTCTCCATGTTCTCCCCGTGCAGCGTGGGTTCTCTCCGGGTTCTCCGGCTTCCTCCCACAGTCCAGAAACATGCTGAGGTTAATTGGTGATTGTAAATTGTCCGTAGGTGTGAATGTGAGTGTGCTTGGTTGTCTGTCTCTAAGTGTAGCCCTGTGATAGACTGGTTACCTGTCCAGGTGAACCTGCCTTCACCCTGAGTCAGCTGGGATAGGCTCCAGCCCCCCACCACCCTGGTGAGGACTAAGCAGTGTATCCAGCTGCACTATTTTCAAGACAACAACTAATTTTCAAGATAAATTCTTGCATTTATCCTGAGAATGGACCAAACATGATTAAGAACGTTTTATTTATCTGCTCAGTTGATGCATTTCCTTTGATGGTTTTTTGATGTAGACTCTCTTTGCACAGCGATGCTGCACAGTGGACCACATCACCACCGTTCATGTGTCAACAGAACCCTCATATGGATCCTTTGCAGTCATACGAGGTTCTGCTCTGCCTTTCTGGACAGCAGACGTGCAGTTTGATCAGAAAGTTTGCCTCGACTTTTGCGGTTCCCCTTAAGTGCCGTTCCTTAATGACATTTCATAGAGTGAAAACTGCACGCTGCAAGCACTTTGATATCTATATTTATAGTCGTGCTCTCTTTGAAGGACCACTCAGCTTCATTTTCTGGTCATCAGGCGTTTGCTTAGAGGAACCCGAGACTGTCGAGTGTCAGCACAAGGTTTGATGAGGATTTATTAAGAAATGAAGCCGTCCCCAACTAACAATGTGATGACTATCTGGTGACAATGCTTAATTTACCTTCAAAAAGACTGATGACTGTTTTAGACGCCACAACTACTGTGAGCAAGACTTTTCCCGGAGATGTGTTTTCTTCACAAGCTGCAGTTTCATACGGGATTAAAAAATCTGAAAAGCACGCTGTAATTTGAATGTTATAGAACCTTCATGCCCGGTACAGACATTCAGTACTCGATGTGAATCAAAGATAAATTCACATAAATGCTTTTCGCTTGATGAAAATGATCAAGAACTCCCATCATTGGCGAGCATCACACATGAAGATCAAAGTCGAATAAAACCTCGACCGGCTTCTCAATATGAGCCAAACCAGGTCACGTTAAACAGAAAATAAACGACAGAAAAGCTTTTGACTTGACAAACTTATTAATTAACAGTAATCACAGCTGATTAACTGCCTTCTCAGTGACTGCTTATGGCGTCGCCGTCGTCAAAAATATTTGGTCTCGTCAGAAACTAAAGGAAAGATTAACTATCGGATTTGTCATTGTGTTGGAAAAAAGGTTTGGGCTTCAATCCCGCCGTCACTGGTCAGAGTCAAACCGAGTGTTATTTATTCACTGGCATGTGTTGACAACAGTAAATGGAATACCAAAAGGCTTACAGTTTTAGACAACAGTTGAAATTAAAAACAATCCAGCAGCTGAAATTGAAATTTATCAAATGTTTGACAACAGAGAAACCAAAGCACACGTTAAATGAACTCAGGAGACACTTATATAATTACATAAATAGCTTTTCTTACACAACACTTTTTCCGCCTCAGTTTAAAGCATCGTTACCGTTCAGCTCCTTTTCCCTAAATGTTGAAGTGTTTATTTTTCCTGAACGTGAGCCAGACGAGTGAAGGTGTGTCGACCAGCTTATGAGCAGATGAGGCTCTGTTTGGTTCTCCCATCATTACCATACGGCTTGAGGTCGGCGCTGAGCCGTTGTTACCACTGAATTCTTCCCATCATTTAAATTCCACATCTACTGGTGGTTCAACACCAGAACATCCCGGCACCAGAGCAGCTTCTTCCCTCATAAACAGTCAGTAAACCACGACAGACTCCTGTTGCACTCCTCTGTGCATCACCGTTACACGTGCAATTCCTCAACTTCAGGTGCAATATTGTCTTGTAATTTAAATCTGTTTCCTAGTTTATTACTTGGCTTTTATACTTTTGATGTCTATATTTATTCCTGTCTTGTTATTGTTGTGTATCAGTCTCATTCATCACAGCAGATTCCTTGTGTGTGCAAACTCACTTGGCAATAAAAAAAGCTTCTGATTCTGACAAAATGAACGTTTTTTACTGTCCTTTTGAAGGACGGAGCATAAATATTGCATGAACGACAGTCCACCTGACGGTTTAATCCTGCAGGTGCAACAGAAGTAAATAAATAAAATCGTTATCAAAGGCAAATGTAGGATGTTAATGTGAGCACCAAGAATGCATAAAGCGTTAAAGCATGTAACAGGTTAAGAAGAAGTTTATATGTGCAAAAACTGCTGCAGCACAACTTAACAGTAATGCTGTATGCACTTGTATAAGTTATTAAAAACAACAGCAGAGCCTCGGTTGTGTTCTCCCATGCAAAGTGCCTGGCTTGGGTGTCACTTGTGTCCTTTCTGGTGGACTCCACAACAAGTCAGTGGGCCCAAGAGCTAGCCACACAGTGCAGTTGTAATTTGGTAAGGCTGTGTCATGGCAACAGCTAGCACCAAATTCCTCTCTCGGCGCTGCAGTTTTGTGTGGTCTTTTTTAACACTGTGCTGACCGTGCAGAAGCACAGGCCCTTCAACATGCTCCCAGCTCCAACAGCCACTGACCAGAGCTCTGCAACTGTCATAACTCCAACCACTGTTATTACGCAGCAATGTGAAATAATTATCTGCTTTCATTCCTGCTCGTTCCAGCCACCGCTACGGGCCAAACCTGCCTCAAAACTTCTCCAAACAGAACACAAGACGGGTGTAATTTCTTGCAGGTTTAGCAGCGTGTTCCTATTGATTTATAGCAAAAAAGAAAGAGACATAGTTTTAGCCTACGTTTTGCGCCAAGTCTCCCATGTTGCACAGCAGGAAAGGAGGCCCTGCGCCTATTGAGTGGCTGACCTCAGAGGACAGCCAAGAGCTCGGCTCCAGCAGTCCCAGCTGTGTTTTCCACACAAGTGTTTGTCACAGAAAAGCTGAAATCAAGCAGTCAAGCACATGAATGGGGATTTTTATTGTTGTAAATATACACATGGAACCTAAACTAGGTGTGATCACATGTCAGATCTGACCTGTAGCATACGAGCAGCTTATTGGTGACAAATTGTTATCCTGTCCACGTCTTCCGCCTCTCGGGTTTATCTTTCAGTAGCAGCAACTTTCCATTGACATGCACCAGAGTTTACAGAATAACTCCAGCAAGCTATGAATGTGTCACTTTTGTTCCCCGCAAGATTTGTTAGTCCGAGGCCAGAGGTCACAGGCGAGCTAGACATTAATAGCACAGCTGTTCTGGTGGCAGTTCCCGGATTGGACTTTGTAATCGTCTGACTCAAGAAGTGGTCCGGTGAGTTCAAAGTTCCTCTTAGGTCTCACATCTTGGGAGGCCGCCCCACTACAAACAAGCTGATAGCACTGGGTGGGCAAGTTCCTCTGCAAGTCAGTGTCCCTCTGTCCCCTCTGGTGACATGACAGCACAACGTCTGCATGCACCTTTTCTTTTTTCTTTCTCTTCCTCTGGCTTTATAAATTCCCAGGGAAAAGCCTTCAGTTACAGCTTCCTCTCCATTGTTGTGCTGTTCCAGCAGCACCCATCCCATCCCTAGAATGTGGCAAAGGACCAAAAGCCATAATCTCCCGGCCCAGAGGCTGGTACAGTGGCCTGGGCTCAGATCAACCTTCCTGACCATAGGTATTAGAAATATGCAACGTCTCAGGGAGGTTTCTGACCTCCCAAAACAAGAGTGCAGCTTCTCAGAGTGCAGCTACAGCGACTTGTGAGGGAAAACAGCAGCTTCGTGGCAATATCACGAAGCTAGCAGGGCTTTCCAGAGGGTGTAGCTAGTTGGCTAGTTGTCGTGTTTCACATGTAAACACGCCGGGGTCTGGGTCAACCGGTTACAAGCGCTGGGAAGTCACAAGCTACGAGGCTACACCTGACACATTAGCACTGGCGCGGCTAATGCTAATCACCACAACAGCACAACAACTAACTGTTGCTAATCACACACCTGGGTGACATCACGGTCCGATCAGGAGCCCAGCTGCCGAGAAAGCAAACGTTAGGAGCAGCCTTTGATTGGCACCAAGCAGCAGCAGCAGCAGTAGCAGCAGCAGCACAGCGTTTCGATTCATTTCCTTACCAGATAATCCATGTACTATCGCTGACCAGTCACAGCTGCACGAACTGGCTTCGTAGTAATCCCGTTTTTTGCCTCTCCGAGTCCAAAAATGTAATGGATTTGGTGCCCCACGTCGCTGCTTTGTATTCCCCGCCTTTCGACAAGCCACAGCAAAAATAAAAAAAAAAGAGAGCAGCCTTTGGGTTTTACTAGCTGGGATTCTCGCCGTCTTCTTCTTCTTCTTCTTCTTCGCCAACAAAAGCCGAGTTTTCAGCGCAGCGGCGACCGGGTTGGTTTAAAAAACGACGACGGCCGCCGGGTTCTTTTTTTTTTTTTTTTGGGGTTGAAAAAACAAACCCCTTTCCCCCCCCCGCCGCCTTTCCGGGTTTTTTTTTTTTTTTTTTTTGGGTCTGAATAAACAAGCCTCTCTCCTCCACCGGCTGACTTCCAGTGTTTTTTTTTTTTTTTATCACACAATATCAGTTGAGGAAACTAACGAAGACCTCGGGCGTTACGTCACGCACGTCGTTTTTACGCACGCAGCGCGGTCACGTGACCAAACACATGGTGGCTATTTTCATTCTGAGGCTTGAATCGCTGCTTCTGTTCAAACACGAACTGCTCGGTGTTTGAAGGAGGTGTTCCCAAAACAGGAGGCTTGTGAATTTCAGAGATGTACGTGGAAACTATGATTATTTTTATTTTTATTTTTTATCGTAACGACATGTTCCCTCTCACACTGTAGAGGAGTTCCTCATCCGCAATGTGTAGATAAATAACGAAACTCTGAACAAGTGACTAAGCTGCGATTTCAACAGAAGAAGGAGGTTTATGAGGCAATCTTCTAGCATGACTGGAGTGTCAAAAGTCACGTCAGCATTTCGTTATTATAACCAATATGGGGGGTATTTTTGTAGCCCCGATACTGATTATTAGTAATTGAAGAGACCGATATCTAATATTTGAAACCAATATGCAGCACATGTGCAGTTAAAGTGGAAATCCTGATGCCAGAATTTTGAATAACACAAAACTTATGTATTGGCTATTTGTCAAAAATCACAGGCATCCAGTGTGAGCAGGCAAAATCAATAAATTGTCCTTTGGTGTTGGTTTTGTTTGGTCATTGCAAGCAGGCAAACAACAGGCCGGGCCAGGTGCATGCTGGTCTTCCACTTGCTCCATGATCTGTCTTTGCACACGGATGTGGAAAGCATGAATTGGCCATTATTCCACCACAAAGTGCTCCTAGCGCTGTCATGCACGGACAAAAGAAATAAAACAAACAATAAACTCAATAGGATAAGTCAAACAAACTAAATAAATAATGGACAAATAAAAATATCCTCCACAAATAAACAAACATCTAAAGTAACCAAACAAACAAACAAAGCCTAACTTCTAAAGAAAAAAACTAATAAACAACCTTACAACTTCAATGAAATGCCTTTATTGAATTTCCCTTCTGGGATAAATAAAGTTGTTGTTTTTTTTCATTTATATTTATTTAATTGAAAGTAGTCCAACTTACCAGAAGTAGGTTGCGGCTAGAACCTTGCCACTGACCACACGTCACTTTGCTTTCTCTTCCCCTCACGCTGCAGACGTCTTCCTATTTTCAAAAAGCCCCTCACTCAGAGAAACCCCCTCCAACCTATGATACTTTTCACCAAAAGTTTGGATCATGCAATAATGCAGCCCTGCTTGTTTTTTTCACTGAATTAGTTGTTTTAATGACAATGCTGGCCTCTGTGAATGTAAATGTTCCACCACCACGTTTCCCTCATCACTGCTTTAAGGGAACACTGATGCTGCTGCCTTGGTTCAGCTCTGCCTAAGACAGTTTTCATTTATTACAGTTTAAAGAAATTCAAACAACCCAGAGCTTTTTATTTTTCCGCTATAGCAGAATAATGATGAGGTGCAGCCAGACCGGTTTATACAGGGGTGTGTGTGTCAGCGCTAGAGAATGGTCTGGCTACGCAAGACTAAATAAAGGAGATATTTCAACATTTATCCCACAATGTTGACAGGTTCTTACTTGGGACATTAACCAATCACACAGTGCCGTGGGCGGGACATTGCTCAAAACTACAGAGTGACTAGAGACAGAAAGAAGCAGGAGCATCGTTCAACAAATTTATCAGGATTTGATTAAAAAATAATCTTGCTGCTGATCAGAAAAATGCTGAACATGTGATCTGATAATCAGTCAGATCAATATTTGTTCTACTTGTAATTAAATGATAAACAACTATAATCCATTAGTTTGTATGCAGCTTCTTGATATTGACTCATTTTGATCTATAATGATGCATCCACTCCTACAAACCAGTCATCTTTTTTCCTTTATTATCATAATCTGCAAAGTAACTGCAAGGGTTTTTTGAAAATGTGGTGAAACAAAAACTGTTTTCCTCAGATGTAAATACTCAAGAGCAACCATTTTAAAGCTGTTTTGATGGATATTTTTTAGTAGGATTGGAAAATATTGCATTTATTTACCATTACTAAAATAGAAGATGATGTTTTCTCTTCTGTCTGGAGGCCTGGGTGTGTCTGTAACATCACTGTACTGATATATGATGGTTGTTAACTTTGAGCAGCTCCTGTGAGTTAGCATTCTGCGATTTCAATGATATGTTAAGTCAAAACTGTTGCTTAAGAACTTGAGCGAATGTAAGCTACTTAGCTGCATTCCACCGCCGGTGTTCACATAAACACTCCAACATAGGAATACGTTTGAATATAAAGATATTAAAAACTCTACTGTACCACTAGAGAGCTTTGCAATTAATCACATTTTTTTTTTTTTTTTGAATTTGTAAACCAACAACCATGTAAAGAATCTGAAATGGTGCCTCCACATTCATGCGGCTGCAGTTTACTGTAGCCTGAAATGCAACAGCCTCTGACATACTGCATTATGTACACGGTGCATAATGAATGAAAGGAGACGGCACAGTAAGTACAAACATAGATCAAACTGAGAGAGCGGTTCCCTCCCACAGCTGCTGCAGTCAGACCAAGATGGATCAAGGAAAGAATGTGCGTTTTGCAAATGAATGCAAAATCATGAGTGTGTTAAGTAAGAAAACAGTATTTTTGTCATCCAGGTGTGCGATCATTTCTAGGTGTGTGAGGAGATTCATGACAAGTTAACACAATGAGACATGCAAAGGAAATCTACCTGGAGTTGAACAAGCAGTACTGTCTGTGTGGCACCCTTCAGGGCCATGCTAATCTGACTTACATTACTTCCATTACCTTTCCCAACGGTCTGAAAAAAAAACTCTCTGTGGACTTGAAAAGCCATTATAAAACAGGACCAAATTAACAGGACAAAGCTGCACAAGAATTATCTAGTGAGACTGGAAATCAGGACCGAGACAGAGTAATTACGTGATATCACACTGATTAGGGGAACAGTATAAATCACGAGTCTGCTAATGTGATGTAAGCTGCATACTGAAGTGATTCCTGTTCCCTGGAGACCACACTCCTCTTCAATATTTCATGTGATGTGCTATAAAGGAAATCTCCCTGAACTCCGTGGAGTGGAAGGTGAACTAGATGTGCTGTAGGAGAGCTCTGGAAGGAGCACAGAGTGTTTAGAAGGCACAGAGGAACTAAATTTCATTTACAAAATACGTTAAATAGAAAAATTGATCTAATCTCGTTGAATTCTTTGAGATATTGGATCCGGCCGAGTGTGAGAAGAGAGACCTCTGGTGGGCTGCGGGAGCTCAGGGTCTGAACATTTCACATTCAGTCTGAAGAGGCTTTTGTGCAAAGTGGTTTATATTTTTTCCACACAATCACTTCAGGGGCAATTTGGGGTCCAGTATTTTAGCTGAAGGACACTTCAGCATGCCGAAAAAAAGGAGTCTGAGAACACAAACCCTGTGATTTATGGCTGATCTGCTCTACCAGCTGAGCTAATACCACCTCTGTGATCATAATAAGGCCATACAGCAACATGTTAGTCGTCCTTTTTCATAAAAAGTTCAAAAGTATTGCTGCATTTTGGTAAAAAACAATAGAAGCAATAAGGTCAGATGCATACTTTAAAGGTGTTATCATTAGAAGATGACTTCAATCAGAATTTGTCGATAATTTAAATTTAAATCTGTCTTATGCAGATTTTTATTATGATTATTAATGTTATTTGTACTTAATGTAAAGAATTCATAAGCTTTCTTTGAAAAAAGCAACAACAAAAACAGCCACAAGGGGGCAGCATCTACCAAAATAAAAGCACATCATGGTTACAGGCCTTCCTGTGTTGTCCACTACATACATCTCTGTGAAAGGAAATGGTTTGCTTATGTAACAGGGTGTCAACTAAATGGGTGGTTTAGGTTTTGCATATTTATATCTATATGTAAAAAAACAAACATTACTTGGAGTCATGACAAAAAAGCACAAACTTTTTGGTTCTAATCAGTCCAACTTAAAAGAAACCAGCGTTCAGTTTAGGATGGTCTTAAATTACAACCAGTATTTGTAAAAATGCAAATATCCCCACCACGTTTAAAAAACAGAAAGTGGAGGAGGACAAGGCCAAGCGTCTGATCGATACGTTTAAATGCTGCCAAATACACAGTTTTAAAGATTTTGTGCTTCGTCGGGGACTTTTATATTTAACAGGGTGTAAAAAACCACGACAAAGCATATGGTGTGGGAGACACTAAAACAATTCATTGAAAGCAGCGGTTATGAGTTAATTAGCTGCTTCAGAAGGCAGGTTTCACTGGAGGTTTTATAGGCTGAAGGCCCCGAGGCTGTTCTCTGTCCTCGCTGTACCGCCACAACATCAACGTGGAAACTACTGGATATAAATGTGCACATTAACAACTTAGTATCAGAGCAAAACTGTACTTTTTATCACCTTGAGTCACTTTATGTTTTTTAAAATTGATGATAGACACAGACCACTGTCTTGTTTGAAGCTGTTGACCATCGGTTTGTGGCTTCAGATCAAATACAGGAGGACTCTGGATGATTCATGTCAAAATTGGGCACAATTTACTCCTAATTATAAGCACTGGATAGTATTTTATTAATTGTGGAGCAGCTAATCAGTGAAGCATTCTGTCCAAATCCAACTTTCCAACTGGAATAAAGTATTTAAACATTTAGATAGCCAGAAGATTTTGGTGTCTTATTAAAGAATTTCCTCCTGCGGGACGATTATGATGTGAACTGAGCTGAACTGCTTCTTATGAAGGATAATTATTTGCTGGGTGTAATGAACTAGCATCCGCCCACATACACGCATGGATTATTGTAAAGCTGCAGTGATGAACTGAGCAGATTAATCAAACAGTTGGCAAAAAAAATGTTATTTTCACATCTCTAGAAAACATCAGTGGTTAAAGCTTTAGAAATGTTGTGAATTGTGTCGTATCTGATTGTAAACTGAATGTTTTTGGGTTGTTGGACTGTCAGATAAAGCAAGATATTTGAACTCATTGTCACTGCTTTGCAAATCACAGCCCGTACGTTTCATTATTTCCTCATATTTTATAGACGAAACAATGGATCTGTCACTCAAGATAACAATTTGCAGATTAATCGATAGTAAAAATCTTGTTTGGTTGCGTCCCCAGACGACTGCTTGTGTGTCCTCTGTGATCAAATGTGGAGCCATGTTGAATCATGCAGGATTACCGGAGACACTAGAGAGCAGAAAAAGGACATTTAGCTATTTATGTCTGGGCAGAATGTCTGCCTGCTTCAACGATCAATAGATTTATTTGTGTATTTTTAGGCCGGTGATTTATCAAATCTGGATTGAATTGCGCTGGACTTATAAATAAACACACAGTGAGTGATTCAGGCCTGACCTGAGGACACTGTGAGCGTTCAGAATGTGGACCAGTCAGCGTGATATAAGCGTTTCTGTAGATGGCATTCCTTCTGCATGAAGTTGGCAAGATCCCAACACGAGCCGACATCCAGTCTGCCGTCCACATCAGCTGCAGGCTGATCTTTAATTGATAAATCAGGTGAGGTTCTGGCTTCATAGCTTCACAACATTCCACCGATTCCAACAGTACGAGTTCAATAAAAACATCAAAGCCTGAGACTGATTCAGATTGTTTTTCTAAATATCTTTTATATTTGAGACATTGGAGTAGATCAGCAGGTTTAGAGGAATGCTTTTATTAGCATTTAGACCTCATGTGTGAAAAAAGAAGTTTAAGTAGATTTTATAGGAAACTGAAGTAGAGAAAACTTCCTTCATGCCACTTGGACTCATGACTCCAGTATTTTTTAAAATGTAGAAAGAACTATGAACCTTTGTTAAAACACTCATTATTACCAATTAGATCATGTGTTTAGTAGTTTGGAAGATGAGCAGAAAACTGTCACTAGTTATAGTTTTTGCTGGAAATCAGGGGTAAAAATATTCTTCTGAGTGTCTCACTCACAGAAAGTATTTCAGAAAACTGTGACCGTACATAACCAGTAAGCTGTGGTATTCTGCTGTTTCACTGCATCACCATGAAAGCATTCATTTCATGCTGTAGCCAGTTAAGGTGCAGCTAAACAAGTCGTTTATTTAATAGATTAATCATAGTTTTTAATATAGAAATATATGCAAAGGTATCTATCAGCCTAATTATGTGATAATTACATAAGACGTTGTGGAGTAAAAAGGGACATAAGCAAAAAATGCAATCACAAATATGTCAGATGTGTAGATTCTGTGTTGTAAATGTGTTATTCACAAAATCCTGACGTTGGACTCGTGACTTTATTATTTAAATCTTACGTACATTGAAAGAAGGCTACACCTGTTTTGGGGTGTTTTTTGTTTGGGTTTTTTTGCAATTCAGACAGAGAAACAATATCTTATTTTATTTGTCTTTATACTGTGATCATTCACATCTATTTGGACAGACTACAGAGCTTGGTAAATTGGAAAATTAGGTACTAATGTACAGTTTAATGAGCTTCAAGTCATCTTATACTTTGTGCTCAGTGGCCTGAGTAACAATATCAACTATACAATTAAGTTTATGATCATTCTTTGTGTTTTTCACATCCACAAATCAAAAAATGATCCTTCTCCAAACTTTACTTTCATCGGTTTGCTGTTAAAATCCCTTAATGAGGCACTTTAATGGAACAAAGCTACACAGGGTTTTAATATTTTAATAGGGGGAGGTTTCATCTGAAGACTAAATTAAGTGTCAGTGTGTGATGTGTGCTGTTGGAGGCTGTGAGGCAGTCAACAGGTCCGGAGCAGCGGTTTGATTTGTGTTGTCTGGCTGGTGATGAAGCTCCGCCCTCGATTATCCAGCCTGCTCGACGTGCGGTTGCTGCGCAGCGTGTGAAGACAGAAGCGTCCGACTGGGATCGGAGGGAGGCTGGAGGAGCTCAGATTAGAGTTGTTGTGGCAGGAAAAAAAAAAAACAGCCTCAATCCAGCTCCACGCGCTGCAGCCTCTGGATTACAGCCGCCGCAGCCTCCTCTCGCCGGAGACGCAGCGCTGCGCACAGAGGATCCTCCGACCAGGACCCCCCCACGCTGCTGGAAGTTTGTCCGCGGAGTTTCCAGGAGTAGTTTCGGGTGGGTTTTGACAGAGCTAGCCCCCGCTGCCCGCCCTGCTCGTCCCTCAGAGCCCCGCTGTCCCGCTCCGGTGAACCATGGCGCTCAGAGCCCGGGCGCTGTACGACTTCAACTCGGAGAACCCCGGAGAGGTGTCGGTGAAGGAGAACGAGGTGCTCACTCTGTACAGCGAGCAGGACATCGAGGGCTGGCTGGAGGGGGTGAACAGCAAAGGGGAGAGGGGACTGTTCCCAGCTTCGTACGTGGAGATCCTGCGGAGCGACGCCGCCTCCACGTTCAACAACAACAGCTGCAACACATCTGGGGACACGTACCCGGACTCCCGGTACGCCAACATCCCATCCGGAGGGTTTGACGGCTCCCATAAGCCTAAAGTTGAAAACTTTTCCAAACCGTCTCCTCCTGGTTTCACCACTTTCTCAGCCCCCCTCCAGCAGCAGCAGCAGCATCCCCCACAGCAGCAGCATCACTCCTACCAGCAGCCCAGTCCAGGCAGCGATGACGACTGGGACGATGACTGGGATGACAGCTCCACAGTGGCAGATGAGCCGGGCACTGTGGGAGGAAGGTACAATGACTTTGAAGGCAACGGGCCCTCCACCTACAGAGTGTCAACATCCTCCATGTCACGAGGCAACGCGCAGCAAGCCAAGAGCTCTGCCACAGTCAGCAGGAACCTGAACCGGTTCTCCACCTTCGTCAAGTCAGGAGGGGAGGCGTTTGTCCTCGGGGAGGCGTCCGGATTCGTGAAAGATGGAGATAAGATCTGCGTGGTGATGGGTCAGTACGGTCCGGAGTGGCAGGAGAACCCGTATCCGTTCACCTGCGCCATCGATGACCCCACCAAGCAAACCAAGTTCAAGGGCATGAAAAGCTACATCTCCTACAAGCTGACCCCCACCCACACGCAGAACCAGGTGAACAGGAGGTACAAGCACTTTGACTGGCTCTACGCCCGGCTGGTGGAGAAGTTCCCCGTCATCTCAGTGCCCCACATCCCGGAGAAGCAGGCCACGGGCCGCTTCGAGGAGGACTTCATCTCCAAGAGGAGGAAAGGCCTCATCTGGTGGATGAACCACATGACCAGCCACCCGGTCCTGGCCCGGTGCGACGTCTTCCAGCACTTCCTCACCTGCAACAGCACCGACGAGAAGGCCTGGAAGCAGGGCAAGAGGAAGGCCGAAAAGGACGAGATGGTCGGGGCCAACTTCTTCCTCACCATCAGCACTCCGGCGGCTCCGCTCGACTTCCAGGAGGTGGAGAGCAAAATAGACGGCTTCAAGACCTTCACCAAGCGGATGGACGACAGCGCCCTGCAGCTCAACGCCACGGTCAACGAGTTCGCCCGCAAGCAGATCAGCGGCTTCAAGAAGGAGTATCAGAAAGTGGGGATGTCGTTTAAAGTCCTCAGCCAGGCGTTTGAAATCGACCAGCAGGCGTATTCTGTAGGACTCAACCAGGCCATCTCATTCACCGGGGACGCCTACGAAGCCATCGGGGAGTATTTTGCAGAGCAGCCCAGCAAGGACCTGGACCCCATCATGGATTTGTTAGCTCTTTACCAGGGACATCTGGCGAACTACCCAGACATCATCCACGTTCAGAAAGGTAAAGTAACAGCACTCGTGTTCTGCGTTTCACACTCACTGGTAAATGACTTTGTGTGATGTTTCTTTGAGGAACACAGATGACTACAGAAGGTAAGAAGTGACCAAATCATGAGTGAAATTCAGATCTCAAGTGTTTCCTAATCTCAGAGTTCCACTCGGTTCAACATTCAGTCCATGCACTCATAAAATAAAACTATATTGCACCCGTGGGATCATAAACAAAGCTGCTGACTTTACTTTCCACCACAAGTTTGGCTGAGGTGCCATCAACAGGTTCTACAGGAGGAAGTGTGTTTGCTGGCTATAATAAGACAAACAGGCCATCTGTTTCAGGCCGGGGTGCTCCTGTTACAGCGGCAGGTTACAATCCAGCCTGTGTCACCTTTGCAAAGCAAATAGGCAGAGTTTGCATTAGGAAATGAGTCCACATGCCGCCGTGCGACCCACCTGCCTGGAGCTGGTGCCGCCCATTGTGGCCTGTTGTTTGAGTTTCCATGTCTGGTGACGTGTTGCATGTCAGTGGAGAGCGACCGTCCTACCTGGTTTGTCAGATTTGTGACTCAGTCCTGCATGAATAACGTTCTCTATTCTTCACAGAGATTAACGAGATTGTTGGGCCGATCCGGGCCGTCCTCCTGCATGACCTCAGCCCAGTCATTGTTTTCATTGTGTGGCAAAATGTCACTCTCATGAGGAGGCGACGCTGTTACGCAAAAGGCACGGCGCTGTGGTGGAAGTGTTTAACGGGACGCTGAGAATGTGGCTGCTCTCTTAAACCGAACCGCTCCTCCTCTCCGAAGGTTCTTGTTTTCAAACTGAGCGTCCCACCTGAAACTGTGCCATGCAGGACAGGCTATAGGACAAGATTAGAGGATGATGTAATCCTTCTCATCTTGTGCATTATTATTATCCAGTCCTTGTGTTCAGTTTTGCTAAAATAACAGCAGAAAATAATCATGTCCCAGTCAGAGGCCTCGGTGCTTCACTTATTAGATAAAAAACCGAACTCTCAAACAAAACGACTTTGCAGAGCCACAACTTTTTCCCGCGGGCGTCTCGGCTTATCACCGGAGCTCCTGCAAACACTGGGGCCCTTTAGACAACACAGGAGGAAACGCCGGAGAAACAGGACGAGGCTGTGTTTGGGCTGAAGCGGGACACAAACTTCCCAGTCAGCTCAAATCAAGTTTGCCACGTAGACCACACAGATACACAAACACACAGCCCAAATGAGGTGACACAGCCATTTACACAGTCGCCGTGTGATAAGCGCAGCCCAGCTCCACAGATAAGAGGTTTGGGAAGACCTTGCTGCAGGCAAACTGTTGAGAGAAGTGCTATGCATGTACACAGCAGTGGCAGGCTGGAAACAAAGCTGATGGAGGAGACAGCAGATGAAAGGAGAGCCGGGCGGAGCGCGCTCAATCTAAAATTACTTTGATCTCATTTGTTTTTAATGCACCGAGGCTGTTTGGTTCCTCTTTTTTTATGATTTCGAATCCGGTCGAGCTCGTTTCCTTCACTCATGCGTTCCTTCTTCTGTTAATGCAACTGAGGAATTCTTTTCTATTAATAGGAAAATCATTAGACAAACGACGGTCCCTCCTACCTGAAAAACATTTATAATGTCACATAGGATTGTCGGTGACAAATTGGAGGCATTAGTGTGTAAAGTTCGCTCCGTCGTGACGCCTGAATGGCAGTTTGTTCCTCTGAGGGTTTTCCTCGAAGCGTTAAATGCAAATACCAACTGCAAAAAGTACATGACATTAATGCTCTAAAGTCTATTTGTGTTGTCTGCATGCCTCCGTGTCTTGTGTAATAATAGACCTCCTGACAGCTATTAATACTGCCGTGACGTGACCATAATTAGAGGGAAAGGCACCTGAAAGGATAACACTGATAGCTTAGAGAGGATGTCTCATTGTGTGAAGACAAAACTATGAAACCAGGAACTTAAATTGGCCCTTTTCTGCCTTCGCCGTTATCTCAGTATTGCTTCTCGTCCATCCTGTCTGCGGCGGAGGAAATATCCAGAAGTGGGATTCCTCTCTTATGAGCTGAGGTTTCTGCAGCCCGGTCCCGGTTGTACACCTGCGGAGAGGCTCAGCCACATCCTTTGTTGTCGTAAACCCAAGTGCACGCTTCAGCAGCAGGAGCGGTTGCACAGAAACTCATCGTCAGCTGGGGAGTGAAGGAGTGGCGGTCGGTGCGTTGGGGAAGCAAAACTTTAAATCGACCAGACAGAGGGACGGTGAACTTGGCAGCTTTAAAAGTACACGTTGTTCAGGAGGATCTCCGGGGACGTGGTCCTGCATTCGTATGAAACACATCAAAGCACCAACAGCTGGATTTATTTTTAGGCTTCCTGCGTTTATGTCATTAGGACCGCAGACACCAGGACAGCTTTTATTTGTCTCCACACAAGCGACCAGTGAAACGTGAGCGTCCCCGCAGAGGGACATTGACCATCAGCCCATCGATCTCCACCTCCACAGGGACCCCATTAGCCATTAGAGTGCAGCCTGGCAGGGACAACACCAGCAAATCAGGCTTCGCTTTGAGTAAAACACAGCTAGCTTTACATCCTCTATTTTTGTCACAACCTGCCTTGACAACATTCGGGTGTGATGCTTTTTTTTTTTTTCATATTTCAAGCTCTTGAGAAAGGGGAAGGGAGGGGAAGAGTTTCACAAACACAGTCCACAGATAGCAGCGAGGAGGATGCCTCTAGTTTGGCTGATTACCAAAGAAGCTGCTGATAAGTGAGGAGATGAAAAAGCTTCTGTTTAACATAATTGAAGAGAGAGGAGGTGATTCAGTGATTAAATTAAAACACATGGTCTGAATGTGGAAACGCATTCGTCTTGCTGACGCAGTCGAGTATTCGCAGAGCAAATATTGAAACGCGAGCACTTGTGCTGCTGAAGGTTCTTGTTCAAACACAGTGTGATAATGGTGATCCAGCCTGCAGTGCTTCCTGCAGGAAAAACCTGTTGACTTTAGACCCGAGCATGACAACACACTTTGGTCTGCAGTCAGCTGAGAGTCCTGGAGCTGAAAGAATCCAGCAGCACTTAGCAAATGTGTAATTTATGTTTTAATTTAGTCGAAAACAAAAAAGCTCAGATATTTCTCTGGCTGATGAAATAGACAACCACATGTTCATACCGTGGTTTGCAGTTTGTTTGCAGTAGACTGAAAACAGAACAGAAAGCCTGTAAGAGAGGAAAGTACGATAAAGCCCGGCTGCTGCTGCTGAATTAATTATTTATGGATTCTGTTTCCCTTGTTAAATTCACCTATTCAGCACATCCCTCAGAGCAGTCGGATTTCATCTGATCTCATCACAGTTTTATCGCCACACAAAGTGATAACACAATGGCAGGCGAGACGGGGAGGAGGAGGGGGGAAAGCACCGATTTACAAGGATGTCAGGTTTTCCTGCCGACTCAGCCTTTCGGCCGGCGCTGCCTGTGTGTGTGTGAACCCCGTCTCCTGTATTGTTAAACGTCCTCCAGTGCACGGCCGAGGCGGTGGAGCGATGGGATGGGGATGGCCGCTGGTTGTGCAGGTCGCAGTAGCTCGGTGTTGTGTAACCAGGGATTACGTAAGAGCAGAAAGCGGCTGCCTGCAGTGATCCCAGGAGGCTCGGTGCCACCTCCGTACACCGAGGGAGGACTTCTACACTGGAGACATGCAGGAGTTTCTCTTCTCCCGGGCGTCGGCGTGCAGTGTGCAGCAAAGCTGATTTATTATCAGTGCAGCAATAAGTAGCACGACAGCCTGAATGTGTGCAGATTTATGTGAAGTAAAGAGCATTTTAAATACACAGAGCAGTAATACTGAAAGAGGCCCGAAGCAGAAAGCAGAAGTACGAGGAGACATCAGGTGCAACACAGAGCTGTGGAGAAATCTGGAGTTCTCAGATGTCATAGATCACAAATCCTGACAGATCACATGCTCGCTTTATTGACGATGTCGTGTTCCTATAAATATACTGTATTTAGGGCATGATTCTTTTTTTGCTTCTTTCAATGTTATTGTTTTATAAAATCAGGATTTATTGGTGCAAAAATGCGACAGAAACAAAACACGAGCAGAGATGGTGTGAAATTTAATATTAAAAAGATATTTGATTGTAATATATCGGCGACCACGTTGGTATCGGCCGATATTAATGTTTGTTCTGATATATCGTATCGGTGTGATGAACAGATTTAGCCGATGATTGTCTAACATCAGCGCCTTCGTCTCTACATCTGATATTGCTGCTATTTCACAGATGTTTTCACATAAATGGTCCCTTAACATTAAATATGTTTTACTTTTGTTACGTAATAAGGGAGGCTATGTGGATCTAATTTGGCTTCTTCTGAATAGTTTTCACGTTCTCACAGTGCTTCCTTATACTCATTTTTCAGTGTGAACACATATTCAATATCGACATCAGTTATTGGGGATATCAGACATCTTAATATCTTAATATCGGTATCGGCCAGACATTCTAATATCGTGCATCACGAAGCAAAACTGCTGACTTGATTGTTTCATTCTTCTTTTAAGCAAACATGAATGAATGACATTTGCTGCTTCCAGCTTCTTAGATGTTGGGATTTGTTGCTTTTTCTTTTTTTTTATAGTCAGTAAATGAGATAACATCAGATTTGGGTCTGTTGATTGAAAAGTAAAAACAAGCAACTTGAAGTTCTTGTGGATTAATCGTAGCTTGAGTTCCTTGAAGACGTTCCACCTTCATCCAAGAGGCTTCATCAGCTCTGACTGACTAGTTGGGAGTTCCACATACTCATTAAGGAGCCATTAACACCTGAGTTTGGGTTTCATTTGGGGGTTTGTTGCTCCTCTCCCTCATTATGCGAGTCGTTAGTGCTCCCCTTGACACAGTGGGGTTCGTTAGGGTCTTTGTGGCTCGGTGTGGATGTGGGTTCATCTTCTTGGGAGAGATCTTAGGACTGAGCTGTAAACAGGTGAGAGATGATGCCTCTGATAAGGGATGGTCTTTCCAGTTTGACATAGATGGCTTCTTTCACTTTGAACAAACCCCCGAATGAAACCCAAACTCAGGTGTTAATGTCTCCTTCAGGATATCAGTATGTGGAACTCCCAACTAGTCAGTTAGAACTGATGAAGCCTCTTGGATGGGAGGTGGAACGTCTTCAAGGAACTCAAGCAAATCTTCACAGACAAGCAACTTGAAGGCTTCACTTTGGTCTCCAAGTGCATTTTTCTGCATTTTCTGACATTTCATAGCTTAAAAAGTCAAATACTGGAGAAAGTATTTGCAGGACAGTTTTTTATTTGGTCTCTTTTTGCAAAAGGCCTGCGTGGCGTTCCATGAAAATGATCTGTGTGCTACAGTGTGCTGACACCACCGTCTCTGACTGTACCGCTGCCTTTTCTCATAAAGTCTCCATGGTAACAATTATTCCTCCTTAGTCCATTAGTGGGCTTTTAAAACGCAGGAAGCCAGAGACCTTTAAGGTACAGCAAACACCTCCAGGATTTATATTTAAGTCTCTAGACAGCTGTGTTCCCGTCTGTCCTTCCCACACCTCGTATCTCTCTTATCTTTGTCGTATTCAATCTGTTGACGTTAATGTCAGAGATCTGGGTCAAACCACAGCTGAGGGGCGGATTTGGGGGCTTTTAACAGTCAAGAAACATCTTTTTGTTGTTGAGATTGTCAGCAGCTTTGTCTCTGTGCTGTAATTTAAAACCTTACATGTTCAGCGAAAGAGGAAAAAAAAAAGCAGCTCATAAAGTCTTGTGAACTTTAAGGGAAGTCAAAAGTGCGACTGGTCAGGTCACCAAGTCCTCCGTGACCTCACACTGCAGGAAACGAGCCGCATGAATCAGAGTTTCAGCAAAGTGCCGCTGACTCACTTCATATAAAAGAAGAAATAAAAAACTCCCATGACACAGTCGATACAGGAAGCTTTTGCTACGTGTCTTGAGGTCACAAATCTCACCTCCCCACTCCACCCTGAGTGGATTACGGCGGCCACGCCACGCCGGGCGTTTCACACATCTTGCTGCCTGCTGTTTGTGCCGTTTAGAGCGATTACAACATGTCTTTGTCAACCCCTGATAACATCACCTGGAGCAGCTGTTTCTGCATTTCCATGTATTGAGCAAAGCGGCGTTCTGACGGAGATCAGACGGAGGCACTGACGGTTTAAAACTTTTCATGACCAGTTTATCTGCAAGTTGATTCTCGGTTGTTAGGAAATGATGAAAAGTGCAAAGATATAGAGAATAAGGTCCCAGAATTGCAGTGAATCAACAAGTAGGAACTCGTAAGTCTTTGAGCGTGATTAATGAAGTCATTTTTAAGTGTGGACAAAATTAGCTGTAAAAAAAATCCAACTTCCTCTCTGTGGCGTTCACATGTTGGACTCTCATTTTTAACAACACTAAGACCTGATGTAAGCACACATTAGCGTCCACGCTGCGTCTCCCTGAGTCCTCTTTGCTTCCAGCTGTGACACTTTAAGCATCACATCCTGCCAGCTCCTCTTGCTCTGCAACCTAAAACTTATCGCTCATGACGTTTCTTTCTCCAGTGGGTCAGAAAATGTCAGTCGACCCGGCCCTCTGCTCGTCTTGAACGTTAGAAGCTAATTTCTCGGTTTGCCACCAGAATGACTGAAGGCTTTATCTGCGGCGATCAAAAGGAAGCAGCTCTGACAGTCAACGCTTAAGAGAAGCAGGAGGTTGTGCACCATCCTGTCTGTCCTCCTCTGCCACCACAGCGTCCACCACAATGACGAGAGCAGCAGCAGCAGCAAAGCTGTCTGGCAGTGTGAAAGCTCAGAGCAGGCTTTGATGATGCTCTCAGTTTCAGTACGATATTCTGGACTTCTTCTATCGTGTGGTTTTTTGTTAGATGTGCAGCAGGGGTGGCGTTTGACAATATAAACAAAAACTCGAAATTAAAAAGCATCAGTAACCAGCAGAGGATGTAAACCTTTGCAGTTGTCCATCCATCCATCATCTCTACACCTTAATCCTCACCAGGGTCATGGGGGTCTGGAGTCTATCCCAGCTGACTCAGGGTGAAGGCAGGTTCACCTGGACAGGTAACCAGTCTATCACAGGGCTACACTTAGAGACAGACAACCAAGCACACTCACATTCACACCTACGGACAATTTACAATCACCAATTAACCTCAACATACTTTTGGACTGTGTGGGAGGAAGCCGGAGAACCCGGAGAGAACCCACGCTGCATGGGGAGAACATGGAGACTCCACGCAGGAAGATCCCGGGTGTCCTCACTGGGACGTGAACCGGAGACCTTCTTGCTGCGAGGCAACGGTGCTAACCACCGAGACACCTTGCAGCCCATTTTTACTAAATATAACTATATAAGTCATTTACTGTGAGGTCACCATATGACTCCGCACCACTGCTACATGTGCTGCAGACGGTGCTGAGAGGATGTAAACAGTGAAGTCAGAGCTGCTCTGATGGACAAACTGTGATGATACAGTTTCTAAACATCTTTTTCTGCACATGTTCTGCACAAAAACAAACTTTTTCATATCAGACAACATTCAGTGACGTACCTGTGATGGGCCCACATCCATCCCATAATACCAACCAACCGATATATCTGTCTAGTTCCACTTCTTAGCAACTCATATATCAGAAGGAACAGGGACTTCTTTTTTCCCCACAAAAGCTGTAATTCCTTAAATTACTGAAAACCAGTGAAGTACTAATAATGATACCAAAGTCTTGCCATTGGGCAGCCAATAGAGAACAGACACAGAGCCACGACTGCAGTTTCAACGGTCACCAGACAGAAAACCTGCAAGAACCACCTGTCAAATCTGACGAGCAATAAAGGTTAAAATCTTCCATGCGAGGCTAAAGTGTTTTTTTCCTACAGGTTATAACTCTGGTATGAAAGCACATAGTTTGATGACACCTTCCTCTTATCAGCGCAACAACATGTTAGACTGGATGTTTTCCAGTTCAGCTGAAGTCGACATCATGGGATTATTGAGGATTGGTTAAGTCTCTCCATCGAACACGCTAATGATAAAGTCTGTTCATTAGAGGTCATCTCAGGTCAGTTGCTTGTTCACGACACCAAAATAGCATCTTCCACTCGGTTGGCACTTTGCTCAGGTTAATATTATGTCCTCGAAATCGCCTTCAGACCCAGTAGTTGGTATCAAACTGGCAGAAAGATTCCCTTAAATGGCTGGACTGGGCTATGAAGTGACGTCATGTAGCAGCAGCTATTTTTAGCGCTGAGGCCCTCATGTTCTCTAACTATAGCTGCAGATGTGGCGGCGCTCGGTTCCCAGGGAGTTTGGAACAAACTGGTCAACAGAAGCCTCTATTTTTAGTTGGTTTCATAAGTTTAAAGGCTGAGGAAATAACATCATGTGTGTTTAATAAACAAAAAGGAACATTATTTTAAAAATGGAACATCCTTGTGGGTTGTTTGGTTTGTACGACTAGCATATGGAGGTTTAAGGCTGCGAGGAGGTTAGCACCATCGCCTCGAAGCTAGAAGGTCACCGGTTCACGAGATCTTTCTGTGGAGTCTCCATGTTCTCCCCGTGCAACGTGGGTTCTCTCCAGGTTCTCCGGTTTCCTCCCACAGTCCAGAAACATGCTGAGGTTAATTGGTGATTGTAAATTGTCCGTAGGTGTGAATGTGAGTGTGCTTGGTTGTCTGTCTCTAAGTGTAGCCCTGTGATAGACTGGTTACCTGTCCAGGTGAACCTGCCTTCACCCTGAGTCAGCTGGGATAGACTCCAGCCCCCCATGACCCTGGTGAGGATTAAGGTTTAGAGATGATGGATGGATGGATGTTTCTCCTTAGGTTGAATATTGATGGATAAATGGTGTATAGATCTGATGATGGAACAACAAATAAATCTAAATTCCTGCTTTTTTTCATCCCCAACAGGAGCTCTGACGAAGGTGAAAGAGAGCCACAAGCACGTGGAGGAGGGCAAGATGGACCGGGCGCAGGCAGAAGGCATCAACGACCGCTGCAACATCATCTCCTGCGCCACGCTGGCCGAGATCCAGCACTTCCACCAGATCCGTGTGCGAGACTTCAAGGCGCAGATGCAGCACTACCTGCAGCAGCAGATTGCCTTCTTTCAGAAGATCACGGGCAAGCTGGAGGAGGCTCTGCAGAAGTACGACAACGCGTAACGGAGCGCTCGTCTCAGCCCGTCGGGTTAGACCTTGGTGATGAATGGCCGTGCACCTCCTTCGGTCAGCCAGCGGCGTTTTGGCAAACACCAGCCGGCGCCACACGCTGCTGAGTGCTGCTCATCCAGCGGGGAGGGGCGTTCAAGGAGATTCTGCTCCCGTAATAATGAAATTTCAACCAAATTAAGGTTTCCGTGTGTGTCGGCCGCGTTCTTTGGGCACCGGATGTCCTTTCTTTAAGAGATGATGAAGTCAGGCCAGCTTTTTTTACTACAAACAAAGGTCTAATTTATTAGAATCCACGATGGCGATGACGGCGCACCACTTGGTCCGGTGCATGGGTGAATTAAATCTAATCAGTGTAACGAGCTGCAGAGCGTGAACCTGCTATTCCCCGCTGCCTGCACGTCTGGTGCGAGATTTTCTATATCAAGTGTTTTTAGCCTTACGACACTGTTTTTAACCGACTGCTGAAGTGACGACGCTCTCGTGGCCAACGACACACTGCCTTCTGGAAACACTCGAGCCCCGGATCCCAGTATGTTTCCTCTCGGGGCAAACAGGACGAAATGTTTACAGCCTCCTCGCCGTCACCACCGTCTCGCTGTGCCTTCTGATCGCGTCTCTCTGGTTGTTTTTGTTACTAAAAAGCTTTATATACTGTTTATGTAGAAGTATATTGTATTTGTTTTTACCAAGCTACAGAAGAAAAAGAATCACTTTGGATGAGGGCAGCGTCTTCTATGGGATATTACTCGATTGTGCTGTTTCTACGCCGGTGTGACGACATCAGGATCGAGGACTTGGACGGTTCGGATCTCGACTTTACCTTCGGCACAGTGAACACCGGCTGCTGATTGAAGCATGCAGAATTGAACTTGCTATGTGGGATAACCTGAATTTAGACCACGATAAATGTTGGCTTAGTTGTGGGGGGGGGTAGCGCTGAGAGGCAGGCCGGGTTCGGGTTAGAGGGATCCTGGCCTGGTTTAACACTGCGGTCCTTCTGATAGCACACTCCTAGACAGTTGGGTTCTACTGATGTTCTTAACCTTTGTGACGCCGGCTGCGTCGTGGAGAGATTAATGTAGAAGCAAAATAAACTTCCTCCTTCAGAGAAAGACGTCGGCTGCTCCTGTGTGTGTTTTTCTTGATTAAACCAACTTGGGGGGAAGCCAGAAGGGAAATTGTTTACGTGATGACAGCTTCATTTGCCTTTAAAAGCGCCTCAGACAGACGAGTCAGACGAGAAGAATTTACACAACCAGTGCAACGTAGCCACCTTCCTTTCTTTCTTTTTGTTTTTTTTACGAGGCCTGAAAAGGGAGCAAACTGTACAGCTCGGCAGGTTTCCTTGGCTTCGTCCCCGGAGGACTCTGGTGTGTCGTGTCTGCGTTTCATGCTAAGCTCACGCTCGGCTCGCAGATCTGCTGACAGCACAGAGCCCGGCCGGCCATCTGGGACATCTGGCCACTGTTAGAAGTGTCAGAGTGGATGACAGTGAACACGGAGAGAACAGGAAAAGGTCAAAAAACAGCTGGGAGGGTTTGTCATTAGCTTTCATCGCCACCGCTTACATGCGCTCTTTGTTTTCTCTGACAAAGAGCGCTGATTGGAGGTTTGGTCGCTTCCTGCACACGCTGCTCTTTGTTTACCGTCTTAAGGTGGATGTACTGTTTGTTTGGTTTCTGTCTGATAAGAATTAAGTTTGACAGATGTGATGTTGAGCAGAAAGTAACAGATGTTTGGTCACCACTGGGGGTCACAGCAGCAGGTTTTTGTTGGGTTTTTTCTAACATGTAAGTTTGTGTTAATTATATATTCCCACCAGCAAATTATCCACCAAGACCTCCTCCCGCTGCTCTGTTCTACCAGAATATAAAAATTTCTAAATAGAATATGTAACCACATGTCAACAAATCTAACTGAAGATAATCTTGACATGGTGTTGATTAAATGTGCGAGGC